ATCGATCAAATCGGTATTACCCCAACCTGACTAAAGATATAAAACTAACCTCACTTACATTACTACAGTTTTATTGGATAAAATCACCACATAACACAATTTATAACACCACCAGTAATTTATTAATCAGTGTATTGCTTGAAAATTCTCAAAAAGTAAACTTTGTATTACTATTATTTAGCAACAAAATCTTGTAGGAAAACACGCCCGAACAGATATGTAACGCTAACAGCACCATCTGGTTGAACGGAATAGAACCGCACATGTCAATGTGCAGTATACATAGTAGTAATCTATACGCATGGTTTTGAATACAGATATCAGTAATGTTTTCAAAAATATTAACGGTGTCGGTATTACCCTCCTATCGGTATTACCTGTCGTTCCCCTACTTTTATTGGGTTAAAAATTGATAAGTAAATGTTAAATAAATCTAAGTTAAATAATAAATAACTGAGTATTTTATATTTTTCAACAAGGGAAAAATATAAATTTGTGAGAAATTATGCAAATATTAAATGAGACGGAGTGGTATAGCATTATTTTTTTTTGCACAGCAGTTTCTAATAATGGTACAGTTCTGGATATTTGACAATGAACTAAAATTTGACATAATAGATTCTGATTGAATCAATCGGATTAATAATAATAATCAATCTCTAAAAAGCGCCGAGCCCAATTTGCTATTTGCGAATAATTTTACGCCCCTTTTTATGATAAAACCAAATTGTAAATTACTTCCGAACTAATTACATTACTTCTAGTGACTTTAACGATGTCGGTTTACGTCCGGGTCCAAAGGACCATCCATCTGGCAGCGCCCCCTCGCGAGACAAACGACCCCGACCGTGTACACTTTAATTAATTAACTGTGTTTACGCGATGAAATCTACGATACATTGCGGACGACGGACGCCCGGAGACGGGTGCCGGCAGTTTTTTACATATCTGTCCATCAAAGTGACTAACCTCGATTTTTACGCGTGGGGATCGTGTGAATGGATTCAAATTATTGTCCTGGCGAGCGATAACCTGTGCGAAATTTGTAGCGTGACGGTGTCGTTTTGTCACTTTAAAATTAGACAATACGTGATTTCGGTGGGATTTTATACCACAGGCACGCAAATAGTGTGTTAGCATCAACAGATTGAAGTACATTTTTTAGTCCCTAGGGTGAGGTTTATACCCAAGGTATGTTACTGTCTTATTTTTATATAAAATGCAAGAAAAAAATTAGGTTCCAAAAAAATTCATCAATACATTTTCACCAAGTTGTTATTAGGGGAAGCTGGGGGAATTGCGATACTCTAAGAAAGAATCTATGTATCTCGGTTTTTTATCATCGAATGTGACTGCAAAAAATTAGAGAATATACTTTACACCTTCTTTTATTATAACAACAGATGAAAACAAAATATATTTCTAAATAACCAGAACAAAAAAATATTACATGTCAATGTGAAAAAATCGGAATTACCCCAATCATGCGAGTAATACCGACATGTATGACGGATAATTGCGATACCTATATTCATCGGAAATTATCGCAAACATATCCTTCAGGGGTGTCTGAATCAGTGCATGCTGCATGTGCCCATTGAGAACATAGTGCACAGTAGAACCATAATTCATTGTCGCGGCCAAACTCTTGGCAAAAAAGGCACAAATGTTCATCTTCTTTACAATTTCTCATGGCTAGTCGTTTTGGTTTAGTTGCTCCTTCGGCACAGGCTTTGCTTATTTTCTGCTTAACGTCATCAGTTGCAATTTATCTCTTTCTTCTTTCTTCAACTTTTCGCTTATTTTCTTTCCTGTTTTCCTTTTCCTCAAGGACATCTTTGTTTGGTAGTGCAGTAAATATTTCGGAGTGTTTTTTTTCTCGTATTAGCTTTCTGTACTTATTGTTTTTTTGCTGGTAGTGGATAAATATCAGAGAATGAGGTTTTTAGAATCAAAGTTTTATCTGAAGTAAAGTCCTCCTCATCGGATACTTCTACTAAATCATCTGAAGTAGATGAATCGCTCTCTGTGATTCTGAGTTTGGTTGTGGATTTTGAAGTTCCAGACGTTGATGGAACAATGGGATTTTCGACGTTATCTATTTGTTCATTTCCGGGTATTTCAGTAATAGTCTCGTTTGGCGTAGAAGGCTCAGTTTGATTTAAGTTGTCTTCTAATATGGAAAATTCTTCGTCAGCAAAGATGTTTTTATTTAGTGGATATATTCCGGTGCATTGAAAACCCTTTACCGCTTTTTCAATTGTAGCGACGCGGTTGTAGGAACGAGCAAATAACATGGCTATATCTTCCTGGAGAATTTTTGCGAAAGTATTGGTTTTCAGATATGTGCTACATTCATTATTATATGCTGTCTTCAGTGGGGAAAAGAAAGTGAAATCTAAAGGCTGCAGCCTGTGCGATGTATGTGGCGGCAGAGATACGACCACTATTACATGTGCTTTGCAGAATTTGTAAACTTTATAAGATGTGTGTGATATGTCTTTGTCCATCACAAGCAGAACTGGATTATCACTATCACAACGGATAAACTTTGTAAAATGTTCCAGCCATTCTAAGAAAATGTCCTCAGTGATCCAGCCAGACTTTGAGCATTTATATATGGATCCTAGTGGACCGTCCTTTGAAAAATGTCCAGGTAAACGTTGACGAGGATATATAAATAATGGAGGAATATAATTGCTGTCACTGTTTGTCCTCGTTATAGCACCACATCTTCTAAGCCCTTTTCCTGCCAAAATTTTTCCGGGAACATGCACTGTGGTTATTCCCGTCTCATTTACATTATCTATTTTTTCGGGCCCAAATTTGAATTTTTCATAAACAATCTCTAGATTGGAAAAAAACAGATTGACTTCTGTCTTATTGAAAGCGTTAATCCTGTTTAGTGATATAGGTTCTGGAGTTCTCACAGTTATGTCAGAATTTCGTTTCAGAAAACCATAGTACCAGTCGCGTCCTGCAATCTTTTTCTCTGTGTTAAAGGGGTGACGGATGTTGTTTACTTCAACGTACTCAAAACATGCTCTTCTTAATTCAGTTGATGAGATCCCATAAAAACTTTTTGCCAACAATTTGATATATTCTGCAATAGCTCGTTCTTCTTCGGAGGATAGAATTGTTTTCCTCCCAAGTCTTGAATTTGACGGACCTTGCTTCAGTTTGTCCCAGAGGGACTCAGGATATGGGACGTGAAATTGTTGCGCAGCTCGTTTAATGGCACTACCATTTCTTACTGCTCTTATTGCTCTGTCCATATTTTCCTTCTCCCAACTGTTTTTTTGAGTTGTCCGTTCATATATTCGTGGCATTCTGAGAAACATGTAAAGGCTGCTACATTGGGGTAATCACGACCCATTTGGGGTAATCACGACATGCTTGGGGTAATGCCGATCGATCAAATCGGTATTACCTCAACCTGACTAAAGATATAAAACTAACCTCACTTACTTTATAACAGTTTTACTGGATAAAATCACCACATAACACAATTTATAACACCACCAGTAAATTATTAATCAGTGTATTGCTTGAAAATTCTCAAAATGTAAACTTTGTATTACTATTATTTAGCAACAAAATCTTGTAGGAAAACACGCCCGAACAGATATGTAACGCTAACAGCACAATCTGGTTGAACGGAATAGAACCGCACATGTCAATGTGCAGTATACATAGTAGTAATCTATATGCATGGTTTTGAATACAGATATCAGTAATGTTTTCAAAAATATTAACGGTGTCGGTATTACCCTCCTATCGGTATTACCTGTCGTTCCCCTACTTGTGGGCTTGTTGGCATAAACCTTAAGACATCAAAAACCTCAAAGAAAAAAGTACAACGGCCTTAAATCGCATGATCTGGGCGGCCTATTCTGATCACCAAAACGGGAAATTACACGACCAGGAAATGACTCATGTAGTAATTGAATTGTTTCTCGGGCTGTATGGCATGTGGCACCGTCTTGTTGAAACCACACGTCATCTACATCCATATCTGGATTACGACGTCGCTATAGCGAGTACCATTAACTGTTATTGCCTGACCAACCGCATTTTCGAAGAAGATTGGTCCGAGGATGCCTCCAGCCCAAATCCGCACCAAACATTAACATGTTGTGGATGCATTTGTTTCTCAAGTACGAGACCGGCCTGTTTATTTATTGTCTGCAACGGAACCTATTTGGCAACTAATCTTTTCAGTTGTTTCATTCGAGGCGTTCCCTCTACCGAAAATTTCACGTAATTTGCACAGTCTCGGCTACACACTCTCTGTACTTGTAATGAGTTTTCACAATTTTCACTCGCTCATCTGTCGTATAGAGCTCTATTTTGTCTAACTGCAATGTTTTAATACAAAATATGACGCTCCGGTATTTTAAGACACTATACAGGGTGATTCAAAATTCAGTACAAAGATTTTAGGGACGTATTTTTCAGGTCAAAATAAAACTTTTTTCCCTATAAACGTGAGTCCACAAATGTTTAGCTTTCGATATACAGGATATTACAGTTTTTTGTTTTTTTTTTATTTTTTAAGAATAATTTCCAAACAAATTTGAATGTTGGCATAAAACCTGGGGTACGGGGAGTTTTTTTGGATGCTAAATTTAAATATGTCATTGGTTTTGACGCTGATTGTAGAGGGCGCCACTTATAAGGGTACGCTTGAATTAAATTAAATATTAAATATTCCATAAATTTTGACAGGTTTATGATTTTAGTGTATACATAAGGTTCAAAGTTCAATGTTTTGAACGAAATGAGATTGTGTTTGACTGTTGAAAACTGTTTCTAATTCACTAGGAACAAAACTAATACTTGGATAAGGCAGACTTGCCATATTTTTTATTTCCCATCTTCTTATGAACACCCAATTTTTTTTAGAGACACTGTACACCAGTCTGTATAAAATATACCGGGTTTCTCAAAAAAAACATTTACGGAAACAAAGGATTATCATTAATTTATCCGAAAATACTGCGGACCGACATTTACAACCTTTTTTTTATATTTATTTATTTATTTAAAAACTTCCTAAAATTGTTAGTTTCTAAACAATGTATTTACATAATCCTTCTATTCTCATCGTGTTTTTTTTACAAAACTAAGTGAAATTTTTTATAACACAGGATATAAGGCTTGGTTGCACTACTTAATTATATATCTAGCAGTTTTTAGATCATATCAGCGCTAAGATCTTTTGTCTAGTCCTCGGTCTAGTCTTACAAGGTCTTCAATTCTTTACGTTTCAATTTTTTTTTTAAGTGAGTTCTGAAAAAAATCTATATTTAACATATTCAACTGTCGGGTGTTCAAAGAACAAAATCAGGGCTCGTGTTTGATTAATTGAAAAAACATACCGACGTCGTAGGAAAACTTATGCAAACAGAGAGCGACGTGTTCACCTTTATCTCATTTATTTGGGCTTAGGCTGGGGATTTATCGAGAAGAGATAACTTTTACTTTAAATATTTGCCTTGGAGTCGGAAACAATCATCATTCAGGCGAGTAGTGAGAAAAGACTCTCCGCAAACATATCCGAAAGCTTTACGTTTAAAATCTTGCCCAAGTCGAGATGTTTTCGATTTGTATGTAAACATTTGGGGAATTTGTACGACCTTGCGAATCTTTTAGGGATTGCGACGTTTTTATACGTGGAAAAATGCGTTAGTCCGGACTCAAATGTTTCTTATATTTGCTTAAAAAATGTAAAAGTGGCAACGCTGTTATAGGGTTTTGTCTTATTGACATCGTTTTTCTATTTTGATTTTCCAAATTAATGTTACTACAGAATTTACAAAACTTTTTGGAAGAAAATAACTATATTTCTGAATACTGTATCAAAAGTTCTAGTAAGATTAAAGTCTGGAAGGGACTTTTTAAGATACAGGGTGTTAAAATTACAAAAGAGTTGGCAAATTGTAATTTAGAAAATAAAATTTTCTATGTAACTGTATCTTGGAAGGTATACTAATTTCACGTTCTTTTTTCCTGAATCTCTGTATGCTAACTTGCCTTAAAGTGCAAAAAAAAAAATTCCTCGGGATAAGTGCATTTTATTCCCTAGCTATACTATATAGATTTTATTATTGTTAAATTGACTTTCAAGACAATCTTAAATGGCTTTGGGGTTAATTAATTTCTGAAGCTACAGCACTACAATGTTTCTGATTAATTAAAATCGAATTTAATTTGTTTAAAAAGTGTTCGTTGGGAGCTATAACGCTTAATTGAAATTTTAACGGACCCGTTGATCTCACGAGTTTGTTTATTGAATTAACGATAATTAAATTACAGTTAAACATAAATATTATGTGTATAATAGTTGGCAATAAGTCAACGTGGTACCGGTTTTAACTGGTTTTAAGAGTCTCCCAAATTGGGTCTTAAAAGTTTGCCAGAAAATGTTTGAAATCTTCGTATAATTTTGTAAAACAGATTTTAACTAATTATGTTGTGGGAAACAACCGCTCTGCGGACTAAAGCTTCGACCATCATGAAATTACTTGGCGAAGATAATTTGTCAGTTGACCCACCAGACATATACCGGTTTCGAGTTTATTAGTATGCCATATACGAAGTATATTATTATCTTAAATAGCTAGAGCTACTCGATGCCTTGACTTCTATACTGATAAAAAAGGACCTACTTATTTGTAAGTCATGAAAGCGAAGCCAGTGTCGTACAAAGCCAAACAAAATTTTAACCAGTGATATTGGTACTGGTAGTGGTTGGGGTTTTAGTTCCTCTGGAGTTGTCGTTTTCCCACAGTCAAACAAACAAAAACATATTTATGTAAGTCTCAAGTAGTATTAGGCCAAGGATAATTCCTTGAGGAATTCCAATTTTGACGTTTAAAAGCTCATTGTAAGTACGTCCGATTTTTACAGACTATTTCTGACACCTTTGCTTATGAGGCACCGTATCAAAGACTTCTACAAGATCTCAAAATACTGTAATACCTCTTTGATTATATTCGAATGTAATTGTTTATAGTGTTTACTAATTTTTACATGACATCACTTATATATTATACATAAACTCACTTATATATAAAATAACTTATGAATAAAATCACTTATAAATACATAAAATGCATAAATTAATATGTATATTAAATCACTTATAAACTTTCCGATCTCAATTGAAGAACCAAGAGTATGTACGAGGTTCGGTCGCTGACGCAGCAGCTCGGCATTGAAATATTTGAAAAACTTGTTCCCATATTTATTTAACTATACCCATATACAGGTCTGGTCGCCCAGTTGAAGAATGAGCGCGTGGGTAAACGCGGCACAAACACAGCCGCACTGGGCCACCGGGCCATAAATTCGGTTGTCAACAAATGGCCTAGCAGTGCAGTGCAGCAATGCGGAATTTGGTGTGATTCACGTAATTTTAATTTATTATAGGCACCTTCTATTAGTCATTCATATTACAATTGCGAAAGGGAGAAATAAGGATACTTTGTTTACTGATATTACTTTTGAAATGGAACATAACGAAACTTACCATCAATATAATAAAACTCTTTGAGGACATAAGTAATTAAAATATGTTGTTGGTCAAATGAACATATAATAGAAATTTTCTACACATTATATACAAACTAGCTGACCCGGCAAACGTTGTCTTGCCATCTTGTGGAAGTGTGGATGGAACAAAATAATATAAAAATCGTATAAGGGTGAAAATTTAGAACTGTATGTATTTTTCAATGCTGAATCATGAAAAAATAAAAACAGAAAATTTTGTCCAAAAAATAAAAAAAAAATTTTGGGGTGGACCACCCTTAACATTTAGGGGTATGAAAAATAGATGTTGGCCGATTCTCAGACCTATTCAATATGCTCACAAAATTTCATGAGAATCGGTCAAGCCGTTTCGGAGGAGTACGGGAACGAACATTGTGACACGAGAATTTTATATATAAGATTATTATAATTTCTTACCTTTAGCAGACAACTTTTAGGGACGCCTATGAAACTAAATTTATTTGCTAGATGTTTTTATACATGTTTAACTGATTTCGGCAAGACTATACTTAAAATGACTTTAATAAATTATACATAAAATCACTCATAAATTATACATAAAATCACTTATAAATTATACATAAAATGGAAGAGAAATTGTCCTCTCTCTAAACACATTTGCTATCTCTATGAAGACAGTCTGAAGCCAGAAATATGTATATACTTATTAGTAATTGGTTTAAGGTATTATAGAATATTGTAATATTACGAATGATGG